CTCTCTCTCTCTCACGTGAACGCGGGAAAAAAGAGTGGATGACGGCTGAGCTCAGAGGCCGCCTCTGGGCGCGTCGCTGGGCTCTGAGCCTGAAACTTGGTCCTCTGGCTCGTCTCGTCTCGTCGTGGGCTTTTCGTTAGTGGTGGTGGTGTACAGTGTGGTGGCTCCATTTTGGTAGATCTAAATCGGTTTAGAGCTTGGAAGTCGAACAAACGGATTTCATTTTTAGGCGATTAGTTTGTTGTTTGGTGGCTGAGATTTCTTGGCCGGCTATCTTCCTCGACAGTCCTTTGGCTAGTTGCATATGCACTGGATGTTTCTAACAGCGATGGTCGGAGCTTTTGTTTGTTGTAACTTTTGTGTTTGTGATAAGGACGGTGGTCTCCCCACCCGACTCTCGTTTGGTTTGTTGTTTATTTTTAGATTTTGGTGATCTACTTAAGGCTAACTGTATGTCTCTTAATAGGGTGGTTTTGGTCCGACTAGAATTTTTTCTAGGCTGTGTAGATGTCTCCTCTTTGTGGGGTTTAGCAATATGTCATTCAGCACTCTAAAGCCTATGTCAATGGGAGGGATTTATTCAATTCGAGTCTTAAGTGTGCTCATTGTTAGTATGTCTAGGTGTTCTTCCGTTTTAGGCCTCAAGTATGCGACTGTCCCCACTAATGGGTCATTAACATTATACCGAGATGACCATTTATTGCTGCGTGAATTTGTACTTGCAAGTGCATGAGTCACCAATAAGAGTGTCGATCTCACGAGAATTATATTAATTTATATCAATTACAGAAATGATTAACTGTATGGATTATTTGTATGGCCGGTAAAAATGAAAGAAAAATAGTAAAATACCTAAATTAAATTAAAGAAAATGAACTAACAATGGAAATAAAATCTCTACAACCGCAATTTCACCCAATTAATGTCATTCGGATTAATTTTGCTACGGATCAATTTCACCTAAATTAAATTATTTTACTTTTTTTTCTGTTTTTCTTCTCTATTTTTTTTTTTCTATTTTCCTTCTCTATTTTTTTTTTCTTTTCTCTTCTTCCTCATTTTCCTTGTTTCCTTTGGAAGCTCCCTTCTGGTCTCCCTTGCTGATTCGTGGAGCTCAAGTAATGAGCTGATGAAGAATATACGCAAAAAATCCCCCTTTAATTCACGTTAAATGGGAGAAAGAAATAAGGCAAAGCAGGCTCTGAGTGATGCGCCACGTGGCGAATTTCAGTTGGGGATGGGAGAACTTGGCGACGTGGCAGTGTACAACAAGATAATAGAAAGGGTGCACGAGAATCTTAGTGAGGGCGCCTGCATGCGAGCAGAGGGAGCTGGAGAAAGTGGGGGACAGCTACGTGGCGTGCGTTGATTGGCAATTCCCTGCTTCTTTGTCTGCTTGAACTCGCATTTCTCGGAGGTGCTGTACACACGCGATTTGGTCCGTTGGTGGTGTGGATCTGACGGCAATAAAAGCGAATTTAATTTCTTTTTATACTCTCCAGATTGGGCTTTATTTTATCCGGATTCTATTTTCAATTTCTGATTTGTTTCTTTACATTTTGACCCCATTAAACTCAAAATTTTGCAATTAAGAATTCATTACATAAATGAGGAAACTAATTATTTTGGAAGGAAAACTAAAATAAAAATTACTATTACTAAACTAAATAGACTAAAATAAAATAAAATATATCTAAAATGAAAAGTATTCATTAAAATTCAAAATAAAGTAAAATAATATAAAATAAGTTAAAAATCTCAAAAACTAGCCACTATAAAAGCACAAAAATAGTAAAATAAATTTATTTTAAATAGAGTTATCATTTATCAGTTTTTGTTTAAATGCAATTTTCTTTTAAAAAAAAACTTTGCACAATTGATTTTATTTAATAAGGGGAAAAAAGAAAAGAAAACAAGACATGTAGAAAAATGCGAAGAAAAAAAAAGTGAAACGCAGTATGAATCTATATCTATACATCTATGTTCCTATTTGTTTCAACCATCTGAATTATTATTTATAATTCAGACCTTAGTTCAGAATTCAAATTGATGTTTTAGTAGAGGACAATTCAAATCATTATCATAGTTCAAACCCTTAAATATAATTCACACACCCACCCCCACCCCCCAACACCTAAATTCTAACAATCCTAATTGTTTTCGACAGTGAAAATAATTTTAATTCTACTTTTTCTCCATCTTCAATTTTAATGTTAAAATGTCATAATTTCTTTGTTTTAATTACAATTAAGATGATTTTTTTTAATGTGTTTATAATGAAGAGAGGAATAAATCATCATCCATATTGTATATTTTTAGATGTCATTTACAATGAGATTTTATAAGATTTATTACAAAACTCTAATGACAGTTCTCAACACTTTATCCAAATACAGTTAAGATTTTATTCCTAAATCCTAATTCAAATTATAATTTATTTACATATCTAAACACCGGTTCAAATCATAATTTAATGCACCACAATTCAAATCACAAAAACTCAAACTAAATCAACAATTTGAATCGTTGAACCAAATGTTGGGCGGCATTTCCAGAATCATTAAATGTGCAATAAATTCAAAGGCTCGTTAGAGCCCAAACTATCCCGAGCCCAAGTTCTCCGGAGCCCAAATTTGCCGGAGCCCAAGCTCTCCCGAGCCCAAGTTCGCCGGAGCCTAAATTTGCCGGAGCCCAAGCTCTCCTGAGCCCAAGCTCTCTCGAGCCCAAGTTCTCCGGAGTCCAAATTTGCCAGAGCCCAAGCTCTCCCGAGCCCAAGTTCTCCGGAGCCTAAATTTGCCGGAGCCCAAGCTCGCCGGAGCCGAAAGTTCAAAGGTCACGTGATGTTATCAAGTGAAGTAACTGACGCTAATTAAAAACATTGAATGGTTGAAAGTTAATTCTCATTGATTATTTATCAGTTTTAACTCACAAAAAAAGGTGAAGAGCCTCTTTGTAATTAAGAGAGAATAAACTCTCGAATTAATGAGAGAATTAAACTCCCTCAATCCTAATGTACTATAAATTCCCTCAGTGCGAGAGGGAAAGGGACACTCATTTCTGAATACAATTGTCTTGTGATTGTCTTCATTTTGTTTTTGTTATTCCTTCAGAGGTTCTTTGTGTTCTTCAAGTGTTCTTCCAATTTCCTTAGATAATTCGCTTATTCAATTCAAATTATTTGTCTAGGGACGTTGGATAAGTGTTTGACGAAATTTTGCTCCAACACCAAATAAGTTCTATATCTATTTCAATTTTACATTCATATGCGATGAATGAAACGGATCAAAAGGGGATTTACCTCTTTTAATTATGTATAAATATATAGATAGGTTCCCACTAAAAAATCTATCCTACTAAAATTCATCTGCTTATTCGTGGAAGCGTACATGCAGAGATGAGGAGGTGGTTTTAATCCATTCAGCAGATAGACACACATTAAAAAGTGGTCCAAAACCGCGTCAAATACCCCGTTGACCACTCTCTTTTATTTTTTTCAATAGGCACGTGTTATATCTCTGACCAATCACTACTAATTTGGGTCCGTTCGGTTCGTTAATTCAAATTTTTAATTTAAGTTGAGATGTGATGTTGTGTGAGAGCTTTTTACTGTAGCAAAAAAAGTTAAATGTGACTGTTTCTGAGAGTTTTTTACTGTAGCAAAACTTAAATTCTAAACTCGAATTAGCGAAAAGAATGGACTCAATTTCTCTCCCCGATAGACATCTCATTGTTGGACGTCTTTGACAAAAACCTTCTTACTTATTGCATGCAAACGTCTATAAATGCTTAAAAGAGTTACGAAGCTAGCTTTTAAAAGGTTCATGTGTTGCGCTCATAGAGGCCACATATTACCCTTCTCTCTTTTATATTTTTAATTTTTTTTAATTTTCTTTCTCTTTTTTCATTTTTAGATTTTTTTAAATATTTTTCTTCTTTCCTTTTTTTTTTATCTATCTATTGTTTTTTTTTCTATTATTGTTTATCTATTGCCTTTAGCAGTAAATTGTTTTTTATTTCAAATATGAATGAGTTTTTAAATAGAGATAGACGAAAAATAAGATGAAACATATGTAATATTTCGTTTGTCATTTTATAACAAAGATCATATGTTTATAATCATAATTTATTAAAATACCTTTGCATAATTTCAAACGTGCATTTTGATCTATTTATTTTATTATTCATTTTAAATCTTATGTTTTCTAATTGTGTCTTATTAAACTTTACCCTTCTAATATGCTCTTATTTTAATAATTTTAAATATATGCTTGCCTAAATATTTTTGTTGTTGTTAGTATTTCTTTTTTCTAAATATGTGTCTACCTATGTATGCGGGCGGCGGGTGGCAGTCAGCGGCAGGGGCAGGGCGGCGGCACCGGGGCGGCAGGAGTAGGGCGGCAGTGACGGGAAGAGGAGGCTATGACTGAGATATTGTAGGAGAGAGAGAGAGATTTGCAGGAGAGAGAAAGAGAGAGCGTCGGGAGAAAATGAAGAAGAAGAAGGGGGGATATTAAGTCAGAGTTATTTGCGACAACATATTCGTCGCAAATAAATTTAAAATGTCGTCGCTAATAATAAATATTTGCAACGACAATATCGTCGCAAATTAATAAAATGTCGTCGCAAATACTAAAATATTTGCGACGATATTTTCTCGCTGCAAATATTTTAAAGTCGTCGCAAATAATGTTTTTTTCCCACGCCTACTTTATCATCAAATAAGATTATTTGCGACGACGGTAAAACAATGTCGTTGCAAATAAGGTAAAACTATTTGCGACGCCTAATGTCGTCGCAAATAGTGATGACTTGTCGTCGTAAAAAAACGGATTACCTTGGCGCCAATAATCCGCGCCATTGAAAATTGCGCGCCAATATTATTTGCGACGACACTGAAATTATTAGCGACGACATTGTTATTTTATTTAACGGTAGGTATTTGCGACGACATGTCGTCGCAAATAGTGTATTATTTGCGACGACAAATGTCGTCGCAAAAAATGTCGTCGCAAAAGGGCATAATTGTTGTTGTGATTAGTAGCAATCTTGAAGAAGATCAAGAGCCATCTCTAAGGTTTGAACTGGACAAGAGAAGTACAAACTATGGTAGTACTATTGGATCGGAATTGGATGATATCAGTAGTGGTGTTTGTTTGACATGGGAGGATCTGGGCGTTAGTGTGGAAGGAAAGAAGAGTAGTAGTAACAGGAAGAAAGTGATTTTGGAGGGGCTCACTGGGTATGCTGAGCCTGGGGAGGTGTTGGCCATTATGGGCCCTTCTGGTTCTGGCAAGTCTACTCTATTGGATACATTGGCAGGTGCGTACATAAATTGCATGCAATAATAATACATGTTATAAATAAAGCCTTGTCTCATTTGAGTTTTTAATTCCAGTTTTACTACAGTTAAAAGCTCACATAAAAAATCACATCTAATTTTTTTTATTACAGTGAAAAGCTCTCATATAAAATCACATGTCAACTCGAAAACTCGAATCCGCGAACTGAATGAGACCTAAATGCACACACGTTTCAAAATTCTGTAGATTCTGTGAAATCAAGATATTGTCTCAATCTTTTTTTATTCTTAAATACTTATCATATTTTACTTTCATAATGTATCATGAAACTACTATTATGTGATTGTTTTTTTGGCATAATTCATGGGATTTTTATTGCTAGAGTACTTTAAGTAAAGAGAGAAGAAAATTGGAGTAAAATACAGTATATATTATATAAATGGTTTTTAAATTGTAGATTTTACTATTTGATCTAATTTACATATAATTTTGCACGACCAGATGATCAAGTAAAAAGATTATAATCATACTGATTAATAATTATGATTTTTTTTTTTTCAAATTTCATCAGAATTTGGATGCTATGTGGTTTTAATTATGATATAATATTCTTCTTTCATATATACATATATATGTGTGTTTGTATATTTAATATTGCAAAGGTTTCATTTTCCTTTTTTTCTTTCTTTCTTTTATTTTTAACACAACTCATTGTAGACTAATGTGAAAAGAATAAGAGATCATCCATTGTACTAAATGTTCTTAATTCGTTTTTATGTTTTTTTTTTTGTTGCGTTTTGGCAATTTTAATCTCACAAACACCCAAAACTTGCCAAACATTAAGAAGCCATCATTGACAAGTAATAGTCATTAGCAGATAGAATTTCTCACGTATAAAATATGGTCTAGAGGAAGCCTTCTTTCAATGTGAAGTCATTAACTAATATAATAAAAAAGAAAAGCTTATATTGTCAATGACCACTAGGCCAAATTTTATAAGGTAGCGTGAGGTGAGACTTGATTTGGAAGGGTAATTATTCGATTCTTTATTCTCTAAAAAAAAAAAAACACAAAAGACAAAACAAAAATCGTGTTTGGAATTAATCCCGTTTTTATTTTTCACGTTTTTCAAAAAATATGAAAACGTTTTCAAAACAGCGTTTAGCACAATAAAAGTAAACAACAGAAATGAAAACGATTTTTTGGTTTAGTGTAAAATGAGAGAAAAATGAAAAACGACTTTTAGTCGTTTTTCATTTTTTGTTTTCGTTTTCTACTCTCTCGAGCAGAGAGTGAGAAAGAGAGACATTAATAGGTTTTTTTACACTGAAAATAATCTATTGATAAAACTACCAAACGCATTTTCAAAAATAATTTCTGTCTGAGATTGAAAACGTTTTCATTTTTATTTTCATACAAAAAACAAAATCATTTTGGAATGAGTTCCAAACGCACCTAAAATTCTTCAGTCCCTTCAAATACATGACTTTTAATATTAGATCTAACTTTGGAAAGCATCCAATCCCTTTTTTTTTTCTTTCCAACTTACTTGTGCTAATTGCAGTCAAGATAAGCCAGTGATGTTAGTTTGTGTGGGTGCGTTAGAAACTCGTTCCAAAATGATTTTATTTTCTGTATGAAAATGAAAATGAAAACGTTTTCAATCTCAAATAAAAATCATTTTTAAAAATGTGTTTGATAGTTTTATCAAGAAATTATTTTTAGTATAAAAATCCATTAATGTCTCTCTTTCTCCGCTCGAGAGAGGACAAAATGAGAATAAAAAATGAAAAACGACTAAAAGTCATTTTTCATTTCTCTCTCATTTTACACTAAACTAAATAAAATCATTTTAATTTCTGTTTTTTGTCTTTATTACACCAAACGCCGTCTTTAAAACGTTTTTATTTTTTTTTTCAAAAAATATAAAAAATAAAAAGATGATTAATTCCAAACACGGCCAGTATATCTTAAAGCAACTTGCTAATTTAGTTCATTAAAGTTACACTTTGAAAAAAAACGAAAAAGTGTCATCTTGTCATGTGACATAGGGAATTATAGGACTAGGATTGTTAGTTGTGCTCTCTTTTCTCTAACGTAGAAAAGTATTTGATAAAGAGACAATTGAACAAAATCTGTTTTATATAAATAAGGGGTCAACTAATTTTCATTTGAATATGCTAGTAAAGTAAGGGTCTAAAGATGGTACTTGAGGAAAAAGAGAAACATCTACTGATATGAACTTTTGGCAGGGAGACTAAGTTCAAACGCTAAGCAAACTGGGGAGATTCTGATCAATGGCCGTAAGGAGACACTTGCTTATGGAACTTCGGTAAGTAAATGGATGCGATTGTACCAACACTAATGCATCGAATCCCGTCAAAACTTTGCACTTAGGCATGCTTGGCTGAGACTAGTACTAGAATGGGAGGCCTACAAGGAAGTCCTAGTATTGCACTCCTCTTTTGTATATAACCGAAAATCACTAAACACTTCCATAACACTCGGAAAATCTTCACAATCTCAAGTAGAAAGCTGCATTTTTACACCTTAACTAACAAAAGACAAAAATTGCTTATTTCCTAGTTTTCCATGATGTAGGCTTATGTAACTCAAGATGACACTCTAATGACAACATTAACAGTAAGAGAAACTGTGTACTACTCAGCACTGCTCCAACTTCCTGACTCGATGTCAAGATCGGAGAAGAAAGAAAGAGCGGAGACGACGATAAGGGAGATGGGCTTGCAAAGCTCCATGGACACAAGAATTGGAGGTTGGAGTGTAAAGGGTCTTAGTGGTGGTCAGAAGAGGAGAGTTAGTATTTGCATTGAAATCCTTACACGCCCTAAACTTCTCTTCCTTGATGAGCCTACCAGTGGGCTAGATAGTGCAGCCTCTTATCATGTCATGAGCCGCATTGTCAAGCTTGCTCGGCGAGATGGAAGGACTATATCGCGTCTATTCATCAACCAAGTAGTGAAGTTTTCGAGCTCTTCCATAATCTCTGCCTTCTCTCCTCTGGTAGAACAGTGTATTTTGGTCCTGTTTCAATGGCAGAACAGGTATGCGAGATCATGAACTATTTATTATACATTTACTTCATTTATAAAAATCTCTATCGACATAAATTTTTTGACTTTTTTTTACAATTGAGGCTAGCTCAATAGGTGTTTAGTGAGAGTGTATTTTCAATGCATTGAGTCCGTTCAAGTTCTAGGAGACAGTTAAATTTTTACAAACTACAAAAAATCTCGTTTCATATAATAGAAATTAACCAGATGAACAATTCTGTTTCAATATTCTTTGCAGTTTTTTGCTTCAAACGGCTTCCCATGCCCATCTCTGAGAAACCCGTCTGATCATTACCTTAGAACTATCAACAAGGACTTTGATGCTGTGAGTTAATTATATCTGCTCTTTCATTTTTTGTTTCTTTTTCCTATTTCCTGACCTTGATAAGTACTTCATGTTTCTTTAGACTACTTATAACAATAGTGTAAAGCTACAAGTTTCTAAAAAGTTACAGTGAGTACAAAGTTAATATGCATGGTTATTGACATTATTGTTTAGGACATTGAACATGGATTTGGTGCGAAAACAAGCACAGAGGAAGCCATTAACATTCTGGTGAAGTCCTATAAGTCCTCCGAAACTTCTGAGCAAGTCAAGCGGCGAGTGTCCGAGATATGCCAAAGGGTACTTAATAAGTCTACAGACTACATATCATTTCTCAATGGTCCATATGGTGCTGAAGATGCTAATCATGTGTTTTATCTTTTGCTATTTCGATAGAAAGGAAGAGCTCTAGAGAAGAAGGGAGGACAAGCAAGCTTCATCACGCAATGCGTCGTTCTCACTAAGAGATCATTTGTGAATATGTACCGTGATCTCGGATACTACTGGCTTCGCCTTGCAATCTACATTGCCTTGTGTTTATGCGTAGGAACCATATTTTATGACATTGGAAAGACTTATGGCTCTATACAGGTAATTACATCTAGCTAGTACCATCTTCTAAGACAAAAACCGACATAGCTTCGAAGGCGAACTCTAAAAACATACGAATATGACTGTAAATTTCAGGCTAGAGGATCAATGTTGATGTTTGTAGCAGCATTCTTGACTTTCATGGCAATAGGTGGATTCCCATCTTTTGTAGAGGACATGAAGCTGAGTGAGTTAGAAGAGGAAACTAATAAAACTCATGTTATTTTGTTGAGATTGATTGATTGGTGAACCTGACCCTTTTTTTTCTTTTCTTTTCACTAATCAGATATTTGGGAGAGAGAGGCTAAATGGGCACTATGGGGTTGCAGCATTTGTGGTGGGAAACACATATTCTTCAATCCCTTTCTTGCTTCTCATATCCTTAGTCCCTGGCGCAATTGCCTATTACCTTGTTGGCCTTCAGAAAGGCTTCGAGCACTTCGCCTACTTCGCGGTAGTTCTCTTCATGGCCATGATGTTGGTGGAGAGCCTAATGATGATTGTGGCAAGCATGGTGCCAGATTTCCTCATGGGGATCATCACGGGCGCGGGAATCCAAGGCGTGATGATGTTGAACGGCGGCTTCTTTCGCTTGCCGGACGATCTCCCCAAGCCCTTTTGGAGGTACCCAATGTACTACATTGCATTCCACAAGTATGCAAATCAAGGATTCTACAAAAATGAGTTTGAAGGACTAGTTTTTCCAAACGAACAAGCTGGCGGGAGAGCCCTTATAACTGGTGAGGAAATTTTGAGGAGTGTTTGGCAAGTGGAGATGGGCTATTCCAAGTGGGTTGATGTTGCTATTTTGTTTGGCATGGTAGTTGTTTATAGGCTCATGTTTTTGGGAATCTTGAAGGCGGTGGAAAAGGTCAAGCCAATTATCAGAGGTTTTTCAGTTGTTCGTTCCAAGCATTCCAAACACATCAATGAGAACCCTTCATCTTGATCTGCATCATATCTTTACCGTGGAGCAAAGATTGATTTTTTTGTGTGTTTCTAATATATTGCTGTTTGTATAGCTATTAGTTTGTATGAGTCCTACAAATATGGTTGAACTGAGTTCCTTTTCTCTTTCTCTCTCTATGTTTTAAGTCTTGATCATTCTTTATTAGTAAAATATCCTTACCAAAGTTACGAATCCCCTCCCAGCGTTACAGGTCAAATCTAGTTGTACTGTGCGATAGTTTTCAAGTATGGAAGATGTTTTATGAAGTTTTGAACGGTTAAAACTTACTTATTGGCGTTTGATTCACGGATTCAAAATTATTTTCAGTTTACGTGTATTTTTTATGCGAGAAAACATTATAACGAGTCACGAACTATGATTCGAACTATGACACGAATTCTCATACTAAACACCCAATAAGAAGATGTTTTATGAAGTTTTGAACGGTTAAAACTTACTTATTGGCGTTTAATTCACGGATTCAAAATTATTTTCGGTTTACGTGTATTTTTTATAAGAGAAAATACTATAACGAGCCACGAACTATGATTCGAACCATGACACGAATTCTCATACCAAACACCCAATAGATTTCATATGATAAAAGTAGTTCAAATTTCAATGGTTCATATCGATTTATCAATCTGACATGTAATAAAATTGCTGAGACGACAAAATAAAATTACTTGTACCGAGTTTTGGTGTAAAGTTTCAGCTCATTCAAGACGCCATTATATTTTAATCTTAATCGTTCTCAGAATGTCAATGAAAGCATCACGTATATGTTCTTTGTTAATTGTTAGTAGACAGTAAGGTGAACGACCTCTTATTTCTGGAAGGAAAAAACAAGATAACTTTATACTAAAAGATGTCCTTTATCAGCCCATTATCTCGAACATGTCCTTTTTAAAACAGTTTTTTTACATAATCTTAAAATTATAATTTTTTTTTCATAATTACAGTTTCTCTATTTTGTTCTTGTAGAGGTAAATTTTCTCAAATATATCCTTATTTACACGTTCTTTTTTCCATGTGACCCATTCGATTGTTATTTTTTCATATGTGCTGCCTAATTAATTTAAAATCTGATTTACTTTCTTTTATTGTTTGTG